CCCCAAAACCCCAAAACCCCAAAACCCCATCATATAAAAAATTTGATTGAAATGGAAATTAAAATATGGGTAATTATTAATTATTAATTAAAATATGGTTTGCATTAGATAGGCTACTGTAAGATATAACATTACATTTATACTTATGATTTATTTATTTTTAGGTCCAAGATTTGTTTGCTATGCAGCAATGCAACTTGCATAATCTTCCTGAGAACTATCAAATGAAATATTACCTTTACCATGCCCTCTCATGGCCTTCATTGCTTTATGTCGCTGAAGCTGATGATGGAAAGATTGTAGGTTATGTGATGGCAAAGATGGAGGACGATGAAGAGAAAGAGAAGGATGGCGGTATCCATGGACACATCACATCTATCTCTGTTTTGAGATCTCACAGAAAACTTGGAATTGCAACAAAGCTCATGAAGGCAAGTGAATACGCAATGATGACCATCTATAATGCTGAGTATTGTTCATTGCATGTGAGAATCACCAACAGAGCAGCTATTGGTTTGTATAAGGATGTCCTAGGTTTCCAGGTGAAATCAGTTGATGAGAAGTACTATGCTGATGGAGAAGATGCACTAGATATGAGAGTATACTTTAAAGACGTCAATATTAATAAAAAAGGAGGTGATGCTTAAACCCAGCAATTAGAAGAAGAGAAGGCTATTGAGGCAGAAGCAGATGCTTTAAAGGCTGGAGATGAAGGAACCAAAGGAGCTCAAACCTTAGCTGAGGCAAACCCTGATGCAGACAAGAAGAAAAAGAAGAAGAACAAGAAGAAGAAGAATAAGGGAAAAGGAGATGCTGCAGCAGTTGAGAATAAATAATGATGAATGATGATTAATGAATAAGAGTTAATTATTTTCTTGATGAATTTAATGAAATCATTAATTATTCTTGATAGTGTGCTTCAATTTAGACCTTATATTATTACTATATTTTGCTTTTTAGTTCAATTTAACTGCGGTTGTAGTATCAAATCAGGACTCTATAGCATTTTCAGCATACTTATTAGAGATTAATCCTCCTGCTAATTTAACGACCCTTGAATGTGAAGATTATCTCTACTCTTAGCGTCTTTAGCTTTCAAATTGTTTTTAAATCGGGGATCTAGTGACTTTCTTGGATCATCACTTTAGCTCGTACTCTCATTCTTGTCGTCATCATAATCATCTTCCTGATTCCAAGCCGCAATAATAGCTCTTCTCTCAGCGCTAGATTCTTTTCTTAAATCTCCTCCCTTCTTCCTATCCTTTTTGTCCTTTTTAGATTTCTTTGATTTCTTTTTTCTTGACTTATCATTTGAAGATCTTGAAGAACTTCTTGACTTGGATCGAGAGGAATCAGAATAACTTCTCTTTCTTTTCCTCTTGCTATCTCTAAGCTGGATCGACAGTGATCTTGATCTGCTTCGCTTCTTATGCTTCGATTATGATACTCTTGTTGACTCCTTAGACTTGGATCTGCTAGTATCTTTTTGCTTTTTTTCTAACTCTCTTCACTCTTTCTTTCGTCTATTGAATTTTATTAGAAACTATATCACCTACCTCTCTCGATTTCTCCTGTACTCTGGGAATTCTTAATACATTAAATATTTCATATCCATTTGAAATTCTTTGGTAGTGTGCTTCAAATGCATAAAATTACAATATCCTCCTCCTAAAATAAGATAGAGTTGAAAAATATTCTCCATAATTGGTTAAATTTAACTTACTGTCACAGGATCCCTCAACGTAGAGTCTGCATCTCGACTCTTTAAAATCAGTAACAGGTGAGAACTCTATTTTAATTGGTTTACCTCCATAGTATCTTCCATTCAAACCTTTTAATGCTTTATCAGCATCTTATTCATCAATAAACTTCACATAGACATTTCCAAGCAAGTGCTCACCAATATTGTCACAAATATGAAGTTCTTCTACCTCTCCATATTTAGCTAACTCCAAAAATACTTCTTCATAAAAACCCTCAAAATGATTTATTGCTTCTACAAGTAGGTGGTCTGGTACTTAAATTCCATCTGCAAATGCCACAGCTGCAGGAGGGTTTTCGTACATATGAGGCATAAGGACTGTTTAAGAGATGACCGGCTTGTTATGAATCCTAGTACAAGTATCTCCATGTCAGCATGCCCCAATTTTGAAATAAAAGGGGCAATTCACTCTTAAATTGAATAAATAACTTCATCTAAAACAATAAAACTTACTTATCTTCCTCTGTTCCAAATATTCTCGCAAGTCTATCTGCCATCTTGTAATTATATCAATTGGCTCGAAAAATTAGTCCTCTCAAAATCTAATATGGTTTATTAGATACCGTTAAAAAAATCCGCAATAATATATTACAAAATTATAATTTCTAAGTTTTAGAGTTTATTTATGAAATCAAGATTAAACCATAATTAATATTATCATATAGAAGTAAATCTGGCGTAGCTTACTCCTCTAATATTTCTAAGCATTTCTTGGTCCAAATCTTTTCTCATCCTTTCGAATTTTTTATCTTCTTTTTCTTTTCTTATCTTATGTTCCTCCTCTAGTTTTTTCTTTATCTCTTCATCTAACTATTTCTTAGATTTTCTCTTTTCCCTAGTCATTATTATTTTCTAAACTGCTTGAGTTTTACCCCTTCTTTGACCAGGAGGAGGTAAACCTGCTTGAAATCTTAATTCTTCTAGTTCTTTTTACTTGCGTTCTTCTTCCAATTTTTCTTGTTTTATAATTTTCAATATCTCCTTATTTGAAGGGTCCACAATTCTTAAGTTTTTAATCTCTATCTTTTTTAAAGCCTATGGATCAAATACACTCTAGTTAAACCTTGCATCATTGTCTAATTCTCTCAATGCAGCTTCTGTTTACTGCATCTCATAATCTACTGAAGCTGATTTTAGTAGAGTAAAGGATTTTCTCATTTGTTCACTGATAGAATGATACATTCCTTCATCCTAAAATAAATCTTTTAGCTTAAACTTTTCCTTTTTATACTCCATCTAAACAGAATCTTTTGATTTATCCAAATCTTCTTCCTCTTTTTTCTCTGTTTAGTCCTAAATATTTTAGGCGAGCTTGTTCTTTTTATAGAAAGCAACCTTTTAACTAGGCATTACTAGAGCTCGTTTTTTGAATTTCTTTTTTTCTTAAATTTGTTTAATCTATTCAGGAATGGACAAGGCTCTTCTTTATGGAGTGCCAGCACTTCGGTTTCTTAAACTTTCACTTTTAACAATTTAATCTTCATCCTATTTTCCAGCTGCTCTTTGGGCAACAGTAGTAGCATGAAGCTTGTTTTCTATATTGCCATATTTATCCACTCGATAATAATCCATCTTAGTAAATGGCCTTCCATCAGGGTGATATAACTTTCGACTAACCACTTCTTTTATCTCTTGGACAGTATGAATAGTCCCTGGTTCCTCTCTTATTAATTTCATCCATTATTAAGGCAAACTATTTAGTGCTAGTTCCTTAGGGAAGTATGATTCTGGTGGTAAATATACTTGCTAGAGATAAGGTCTCAAGTCTTTTTCACCAAGTTCAGACATGTCACACTCATTATCAAGACATAATCCTATTGTCATTCTTAGATTTATTCCCTGCATGTCATCTGTAAACATAATCATGTTTCTTGTAAAATGAGATTCAGTACCCCTGTTAAACTTTACTGATGTAAAGAAGTTTAAAAAGGAACCTTTACAGCAGCCTACATAATTATTCCAATTAGAACCAATTGTAACTCTGAATTCTAATTCACTGTTATTGAAAAAATGTGAAAGATCATTTTTTTGATAGCTATAGAAGTAATTTATCCTATAATACAATATAACAAATACCAATTTACTTTGACCTGTTAATCTTAAGAACCCTAACTAGTTCTCTCTGACTCAATACAATTTCTACTGGATTACCGTTTTCATCCTAATATGCCTCTGTTTCAGCAACGATATATGGCTGATTCTTAGAGTATTTAGCTTATGACTTAACTTTTTCAAAAATGTATTTGATTGGCTACCCTGAACTTGAAAGTTAAAATTTAGTGATATATTCACCAAATTTATACTATAAATATACAGGATGTCCTTTACTCTCCAGTAACTTTGGATTAACATCCTAAATTTTTTTACTTTTCCAAGAAAATATTACAATCATTTTATGAGCGATGAGTGCAATCCTCCATTAATACATCTTTGGACGGAATCTTTGATTATTTCTGATATTTTTTGGCTGTGTTTTTATCTTTTACTTTTTTTCTTTAGGGTCTTTTACTTTTTTTATTAAATTAGGATCTTAGTCTGCAGGTATGTATTCTAAATAAGCAAGATTTAATTAATCCTATAAACTATTTTGTAAAATACTTATAAAATTACCTCAAATTATTCAGCATCTCTCCAAACGAAACTATAACACACCTCGCAGAAAAAATACTAATCAATTTCATTATCAATTAAGTATCTTTTAGCTCCTTTAACCCATTCTTATTAAGCAATCAAAGGTATTTATTTTATCATTTTGAAATCTGCCTTACTAAATACAAACTACTCAATCTACGATGGTTTAAAATGTAATCTACATCTTAAGCACTGTACTACAATGTTATATAATAAGAGTATTTTTACTTTTCTTGACCTTTTTGTTTTAATTTACAGCTAATAACTCTCGATCAAAAGCTGAGGGTTTCAAAGTTTTATGTACATAATTAGCCTCCCTCAATTTGAAAGATTTTAATCCTATAAACCAATACTGACCTTTTTCATCTCTTATCCAATCCGTAACAACATTTAATACCTTCATTTCAAAAGCCTTTTCCATAAAATTAAATATTTTATAAGCTTCTTTCTCAATCATCGACATTGTTTTGCCAGTATAAGTATAGACATCAAATGAACCTACTTCGAATGGACAAAGTAGGTATCTGTTTTCGAATCTATTATTAAGCTTCCTTGGTGATTTACTGTCTTCACTTGTAGGAAGTTTCTACTACTCTTTCATTCTTAATTATTCGAATTCTTCAACTATTTTATCATTATCATCAATCATGGTTCTAAATGAAACTTTATTATTGATAGCATAGCAGAAGTTGTATTTTCCTGAGCCTTTAGAATTGACCATCTCCTCAGGATGAACACAAGCTCTGTAAAGAGTTAGTTTATCTCCAAATGATTTCTAATATCTCTAAAGCATTGTTCTATTTGCTGGTCCATTCCTAATGTGCTCATAAGTTTATTTCCAATTAAAGAGATTAACAGTTTGGTAGCAAGGGTGCCCAGTTGCTTTTCTAAGTACAGTTGCTGGTTCAGTCCAATTTTTCACTATATCATATTAGGATCTTGATTCTATAAGATCTAAGAAATCTTTAGATTTTGGACTTTGCTTGATTGTAACATAACCTTTGTTGTCTGTTGAAATTAGGTATGTCTAGTAGTTGAAGTATAGAGTATCTGGAATATTAACTCTTAACTAATCAAGGTGCTATTTCTCACAATTAATCAAGGCATACATGAAATCAAATCCAGGTTTGACAGCAAGTTTCTCATAGTAATCAACTTCTTCAGGTACAACATCAATCTTTTAAACAACTTCTTTATACCACTTCTTCTCATCTGTTATCAATTTCTCAGCCTTTACTAAATCATCCCTTTTAGCCAATTCATCATCCATGTTCTTTAATTGATCTAATCTTCTAAGTTTGTGCAATTAATCCTCTTATATTAGGTTTTTCATCAATTTGGATGCAGATTTACCATTCAGATCTTTTTTTTCTCCAAGGGTAACTTTTGTCATATGCTTTACTCCTTCTCTTAATTGCTATTTGTACTTGGGTGGCAATTTATCATTTTTCTTAGCTTTTATTGAAGGTTAATTACTCGAAGTGTCCTCATCATCTCTTTCGACATAATCAACAAACTACCTTATTAAAGTAAATAAATTCAAATTATAATCTTACAAGATCCTCTCTAAAGAGATTATTCTAAGCTTTCTCAAGTAGATCCTCTATTTCTTGGTCTCTCAAGCCAAGATCATTAGCTGATGATTGGTCGTTTAAATTTGATCTAGAGTTTGAATATTAGGATGTGTTCATTTCAAAATTAAAATTAAATATTATATTGTTTATTTTATTAAATTCAAACAGAACCCTTTGTGACTTGCTGATCCTAATATAACTTAGTTCTTCTTTCCTTGAGTTTCTAGGCTAATTAAACCAGAACCTCGGTAGGCTATTCTTCTAGCACAGCTGTGTCTAGGAATCTTAGAATTTCCTCTTCATTTTCAGGAATGCGTTGCCTCAACTCTTCCCAATTATTTTTCTTATCAGCTTCTAGCAATTCGATCATATTTTATATTTATTGCTTTTCATTCAAATTACTATTCTGTTGATTTTGGTATTATTTCACAAGTTGGTTTTATAAGGTCTAAGCCCCAAGTTGTTCAAATTAAGAGCTTTACTAATGATATTTAGATGACAATTATGAATCACCTCTGTGATTAGGTTAGAGTTTCTAAGAAGCTCCGAATACCATTTACTTAGATTAAATGAAAATGCCTGGCTTTTAGTGAGTAGTGTTATGAATATTAATATGCGCACCAACCTATTTCTTAGCTTTTTGAAGTTTATTTTAACCAGACATATCATTCTACCCAAGTCTGTTTCCTGAATTGTTGAAAGTTTTAGGGCCAATCATTAGACCATAAGTATTTGCCTTTTAATCAGCATCAATTGGATCTATAATATCTTAATGATTTTCATAATCATCTCCTCTAGCAATTAATGCATGATTCATAATTTTATGACCTCCAAGAGCGTTTTCATCGAACTTATATTTAGTATGACCTGCATTCCACTTCACTAAGTTAATTATCCAAGTTAGAAGAATTGTTGCTCCTTCAGAGAACTAGCTAAGATTATCTGGGGTAAGTTGTTTTTAGTTGTTATTTAGAATCTTAATTACTCTTTTAATTAGGCTGTGTTTTATTTGACAAACATCCATTAGCATCAGTTCCATCTTAAATGTCATAGATGACATCATTTCTCTTGCTACTGTCCAGTTTGGAGCAATGCAACCTCTAAGAATGCAGACCATATTCATTACTTTTTCAATTAATGGATGAGGCTTAACTTGATTTCTTAATTCAATGATATGAGCTTTGGTTAATCTTCTTATTGAATGTTCTGTCATCTTAACTGCATAGTTAAATTCATCCTCTGTTAATTCTATTTCAAGCTAATCATCATCATCATCTTAAACATTTTTTCCAAGCAATACCCCTAAACCAATGCTATGTCTATTACCAATATATCCTGGCACTTCAGTTAAAAAGTTGTTTGGTCGATAATTCTTTCTTTAAACAGTTGTCATAATATTCATCTCATTTTTATCAGGGATAACTGATGATGGATATACCTTTGTAGTCACTTCAAGGCCAGCTGACTACAAAGCATGCCTTCCGTTAATACCCTTCAAGCTTTTAATTTTACTACCTCTCTAAGGTTCAACATAAGGTACTAATTAGCTCATCTTAGCTTGCTCTTATTACGTTTTCTCAGACTCAAGAACCTTTAAATGTAAACTCGTTAGAAGATCTTTTGCTCTCTCCAAAACAAGTCGATATGTATCTGTTCCAAATTACCCTTGCATTCTGTAGTGCCAAACACAGACTATTATCAATATGTTTTCTACTCCCATCTTTTAAAGTAAATGAAGTAACTTTTGTCCAGATCCTTCCTCTCCTGCATCATCGAATCCTTCAGTTAATAAAGCATCATTATTGTCGTTTCCATAATCACTTTATGAATTACCACCATTAAGATGACCATCAAATTAGTCCTCTAAATCAGTCAACTATCCTCCCATTTACTTTTGATTTACTCTATAAGCTAGAATTTTGCATTTAGCTTGCTTGATTCTCTCTTTTCGATTTATAAATTGAATCACCATTTAAACATGCTACTGACTACTAATTGCAGCAGAGAAAGCTTGGTAAGTAACTTTCTTATGAAACTCCTATTTTCCAAAACTTACTGAGAAAAGTACACTTTCCATTTCATCTATTTCATCTTGATTTGGAATTATACCCTACGAGGTAAGATAATCATCAATATAGTATTTAAGGAATTCTCTTTAGTCATTTTCAGTTGGTGAGTGGGAGGATATAACAAGTTATTATTGCTGTTATGTTCCACCTAAAGATTGAGATTATACTGACATTATTACAAATTAAAATAAATAACTAAACTTAATAATTATTAAACATTATTGAAGCCTAAAGAATTTGTAAAGGTTTGTATAATTAATTAATCTTATCAATTTCTCCTAGTATTTCAAGAAGTCATCGGTCAATCTGATAAAAATGATGATGAAGATTGATTTGAAGACATTGAATCAGATCTTTATCTTTTTCTACTCTATCTTTCATCAACTGCATTTTTATTTTTTCTTTCAGCATGCATTTCTTTTGAACGATCTCTATAATTATCTTGTTTTTTAGAATTCTTGTCCTCACTATATCTTCTCCTATCATTATATTTTCTTTAATCTTCATACTTTTTTTTATTTTCTTCTTTATGATGCTATTTTTCATCTCTTTATTTTTCCCTTATCTCCATATCTATCCTTTAGTTATCTCTACTCCTTGATCTCTTTCTAGAGTTTCTTTCATCCCTTTATTGCTTATTTTTCTTATCCCTAATATCATTTGAATCTGAAGATCGAGAACTACTTCTTGAATCATGCCTTTTATTCTTTTTTTATTCCTTCTTTAGTTTCTTTGCCTCTTTTTTCTATTTCTTCATTTCTTTCTTAAGCCTCTTTTACTCCTTTTTGTCTAATTTATGTTATTCTAACTTCTCTTTCAAATAGTTGATCATTACTAGTTTCTTTCTTTAATCGAGATATTTTATATCCTCAGTACCCACACCGTCAAGTTGATTGATTTCCTTATCATCTTTCAAACTTTTTGGATCTTTTTAAAGTTCTATTAATTTCTTGTTCAAAGTAATTCTTTATTGAAAACCTATACCACCTACTCTATCGGCCATTTCTCTCTCATCAGTTAATCCATCAGCTGCAGCTCCATTCTCAAATCCCTAATTTTAATGAGATAAAACTCCATTCTTTGATATTAATTCCTTCATCTCGTATTCTGTCAGCTTGTTCAGCATTTTATCCTACCCATCATCATCATTTTAAAGTTCTTGTAAAAGTTGCTTTGTTTCTTTATGAGGTTCTAAGCCTAATTTTTATCTCATTAAGGCTTACTCTTCTCTTCTAATCATCTCTAATTCTCTTCTTAATTACTCGTTGTTTGCTGCCTAAAAATTGTAAGAAACTGATATTTAATGCAAATTTTTTCATACATCTTCTTTATTAGTGATCCACCAGTCTCTCTTTCTCCATTTACCTCCTTTGTCTAAATAGCCTAATTTATCTGAAGCACCAAGATATTATTCACGATCTTTGTAGGACATAAGTCGGACATCATCCCATTTGAACTAGTCCCAACCACCTCTATTTCCTCCTCTCACTGGTGCATACATTATTGTTATAATCTATACTCTTAAATTAATAATTATAACTTAGGACTATTAATTTAAATTAAGTATGACTTTATTGAATAATCTAAAATACAAACAATAGGAAGCAAATAACTGATGCCAGAATTATCAATTCATCTAGCAGCCTAATATCAATCTCATTACTATCCTTTCTCCCTTGCTGTTACCTCTTTTGCAAATTTAATTACATAAATAGTTGTACTTCCAGAATCTTCACTGCCTGGCACATTTTAGTCATCATTCTCTCCATATAAGTGAGCAGTCACTTTGGCTGTCATTTTTGCACTATTAAGAATACCCTCAATAATACCAGCAATATAACTTGCACAATTCAAGCTAGTGCCTTTTCCCATACTTGTAAATTTGTTTGTGACAGGAGTCTTGTCTAAAATTCTATATTCATCTTCGTCTTCTATACTTTATTCAAGTCCATCAGCAGTTTTACCAAATAATTACTTCCAAAGAATATTATTGATGAAGTGCAGCATTGCTACTAATTTTGTTTCTCTTTTACCATTTTAGCATGCACCATTCATGCCACCTTTTTCTCTATAGAATAGGAGTTCAAGTAATTTCTCACCAACTGGTATGCCAAGATAGTATAATTATCTCTCCAAGTCATTTTAATAACCATCATCTACAGCAATCTAAGAAGCTATCCCTGCAGAGGGACCAGTCTTTTCTTATTTCATAAGTTATTAAACTATCTCTGAAAACATAAATGAAAAGATTGAAAGTGAAACTTCAGGTCTAGGTTTGAGAGATTTATCAAAAGCATAGTCAGCCAGACTTGAAACATTCCCTTGAGGATTATTTATCTTTTTCATTTTTATTAGTTATAATTAACTCATATTCATTAAAAATTGATCCTTATGGGGTTTTGGGGTTTTGGGG